AGCAAATGTTAAGCTTCCTCCTTGTTCTAACTGCTGAAAGGGAAAAGGAACCTCATTATCTGTTCTCTTCCCAGAGAGGCTTTTCTCTACTGCAAGTGTGGAGAATCCCACCTATTCTTCTGTACACAAAGTTTCCTGGATGTTATAAGAAGGCAGGATATCTGTCTCTGATGTTCTATTCCCCACCGCTAGCCTCCTGACTGAGGGAAGGACAGAAAGAAGTCTCCATCTACTACTATCTTTCCCCAAGAGCATCCTGCGTGCTGTGAGAGGGCAGTCTCCATTATTCTATTTCTCCCCTCCCCTCTCCCCATCTTCTCTGGACTCCTGGCTGTTGTGCAGGGAGAGAGGAGGGCAAGGGATTGTGGATGGATGGAGGGAAAGATGTCACCAGTGCTTACCTTTTATTTTAGTAACTCCAAGGTCTGCCTCTGCAGCTGCTCAGAACTTGCCACACAGGAGGAGGATGTTGGACAGAGAGGTGCTCTGCAACTGTGGGGCCTATTTCTGCTCCTCCCTCAGATCAGGTATCCGGGAAAAGTTCCTCTGGGCTGCATCCACTGGCTTCCCGGACTCCTTCGAGGAGCAGTGGGTGCGTCCAGGGTTCTCTGCTCAGTGTCTTCTTCTGGATCCCTGATTCTGACCCTGTAACCCTCACTCCTGTTTTCCATTATTTGTTTCCCAATGTCAGTTGAGACCTCCTCCTTAGGCTGGGAGAGGAGCATGTAGATGTGGGAGGCATCCCCATCTCCTTCCTTGGAATTCAAGAGGTTCTGAGAACTTTGTCTTGCAGTGGAGAAGTAAAACTGACATATTTGTGTCACTGCTTACACTGAGCAGCAGCAGGGGCACTAGAGCACTAGCAGCAGGAAGACAGCTCTGAACTAGTTGACATTCATATAGCTGTCTTCACAATATAGGAAATGATTTTTTCTAAATGAAAAATACATTCTCCAGTAATTTATTTTTTATGCAACCTCCTTCACCAAGAAAAGTTCCCCACTTGCCAATGGTAAATTGATTTTCCAAGCCCCAGTGTAAATTATTAAACCATTTTCAAAGAGGGCAGAGGAAAATTAAAAGCTAGACTGTGCTAAATTCTAATAATTATTTTATCAGGGGACACGATTGTGGAGGCCTCTTGGCAGCAAAGAAGCAGAAACATTCAGAATGCTTGTGCTGTCACGGCTATACAGTTTTTGATTGTACTATGTATTGGTGCATAAGCACAACACATGCATTACCTTCTGCTTTATTCTGCCACCTCTTATAAGCTGTTATCACACCCTGAACACAAATCATAAATATGTGCCGAAGTGGAAGATTTAAAACTTTAATTTGGTACTTCAGAGCAGGGCTTAATGATGGCAAGGAGAGATGTATAAACATTTCTAATGCAGTATGTTGCGCTGGGGCGGGCAGACAGACGTGTTTGATGCAATAAGACTGCAATTTGAACATCTAGTGACCTAAATTGGTTAAAACATTGTCACAATAGCTATTCTATAAGTACCATCCCTTAATTCACTGCTATTCACCAATGCAAAAGGTTATCATATTGCACTTTCCCTTTTTTTTTTTTTTTTTTTTTTTTGGAGTCATCAGCGTTACAACCATCATGGAAGTCTGCTAAAATGGATCACTATTTCATATGCAGTTCGTTCCAAACAACCTTAGATCATTCTAGTAATAACAGCAACTCTACTCACAACCTGAACTTCAGCAAGTTGAACAGTCTTTTTCCAAAGGAATGCAGAAAATTCCTGTTTGGTTCTTTGGATAGGAATACATATTCTCCAGTTATTTTAGTTCAACTTTTAATTCTTTAGTATGTTTGGAGGTCAGAGTTATTAAAAGAACCAACTCTGGCCTTTAGCCAAATAATTCATACATTTGTGTAGCCTCACCTCTCTGTACTGTACTTCTATGTTTGGCATTCCTAAATTGATTGGTAATTTTAGATACGTACAAAATGTATATGCCATGGCACATACAACACAAAGCTTGCAAGCAGCATCCATGTCTGGGAAATTCCTTTTTGATTGAAGCCTTCGTCAGCTGTTCTACCATAGATGTCAATTCCATGATTTATTGTCCTTGAAGTTTAACATATGTTTGGCGGGGGGGAAGGAGGGTAGAAGAATTACTGGAGCACTTACTGCTTAACTGTCAGGTGCACATTAATGTACAGCTAGGAAGCAAAAATACCTTGATGGAAATTAAATAAGCCATAAAATTCTGCCCTTAATTAATTATACTCTTGTATCCCCACAAGTCAATGGAGCTGAACTGGCAGAATTTGACTAAGTTTGTTTATATTACTGTTAAGGAAACAGAACTTCATCTACCAAGTGCGCTGATCACTTCACTTCTCTTGCAAATTTCCCCTCCCACTCCTTGTCTTTCTATTTGTCAACTCATCAGGGCAGGGACTGTCTCATGTGTTTGTGCAATGCTTAGCATAATGTGGTTTTTGATCTCAGTTGATACCTCTAAGTGCTACTGTAATACAAATAATATGGACCTTCATCTAGTCAAACAGGTATATTGCGTCTTTAGAATTTGTGATCTAATTTGGTGTCATCTTAATCCTGCAAGAAGTTCTACCGACTCCAACTGGATTGCTTTTATAAGTAGGGCAGGTGTAATTTGGCCTTCCAATAATAAGCTTCTTGGCTAATGCTTAAGTGCTTTGCTAAATCAGGGCCTGAGCATTCAGTTGCACGAATACATCTGAGGACTCAAAATTCAATGTGATGTAAAATTCAAATTTAGATGCACAAGTCTCACAGATGTCTACCTAGGTTAATGGTATATGCAAATATACACGTAAATTGAATGTTGGGCACCAAAGCTCAGACACCAGACTGAGGCCACTGTGAAAATTAGGCACTAAAGTATTGAGTTTTAATAACAGAATACCATGGGTTGTCACAGGCTCTGGAATCACTACACAGGGAAAATGAATTCCTACATATCCCAACCATTGCAGCTTCAACCATAAATCTTTCATCAGGCAGGTAGAAGAACAGGTTATTTCCCTAGTGAAACTTATTTCCGGTGTGTCATATTTTACTCTGCCAAGGATGGATTTAGGATGGGGTGTGTAACCTCATCTGATGAGAGCCATAACCTCACGTAGAGCACTTATACCTAAGTGGACTCCTACTCAAAGGAATAGTCTTCAACCATCCTACCTTCTAGAGCACAGAATTATTTAAAAGTATGCAAAGAATGGGATAGGTATCAGATTTATAAGTTGAACTAACTACAGACAGATGTTGCTCTTGAAATTTGTTACTTCACCAGGGAATTTTTCTTTTTAAATATCCAACAAGAGTTTCTCGATATGGCTAAATAGTTCACCCAAAGTGAGTCTCTGTCTTTTGGAGGGTTTCGTTCTGAATGCTAGTGTTCAGCTAATAAACGTGTTTTCTCCTGCCTCACTGCTCTTCTCTATTCCTGCAGCATCACTCCATCTCTAGGTTTGTACATTTTAAAATATTGCTTTGGTTAGTCACTTCAGGAAAACGTTTAAGAGCAAAAGATTCTAGTGTCATGGACAAAAGACTTTTTACACAATGAAATGTTCATTTATACCACATCCTTGAGCAAAGTGTTCTTTCAATCCTAGCACTAGTCAGGAAATTCTCATCACCCAGCAGGGTGTTCATGATCAGAGGCATTACTTCCTTTGCTAGTGGGGCAAACTGGATTTTGGTGTGAACTTCAATTTATCTTCTGAGGCTTTGAAACTTTGAGATGACCTCCTCAAACAGCTTTCACACGGAGTGAAAACAAGACCTATGGCACGAGAACTTGTTGGAATATGTAATTTTATTCTAGCACCTCTCTGCACATGACAACATTAACTGAATTAGAGTTTCTGACACATTCAGTGTCTCTACCCCGAGAATATTTAAAAAATGAAAAATAGTACAGGGAATCACCCTCAGGAAAATTTGTGGAAGAGTTGGCACTTTTGCTGGTATATTTTAAATACACACAAAGGTATCTGCTCATTTTTTTTTTTTTAGAGTCCTCATGAAAGTTGCTAAATTGAACTGCAGTAACATATAGAGCCCAATACAAAGTGTTTGAATCATGATCTATGAGCGAGGGGTCCCAGCAACAGGGAAGGACAAGGTTGGAAAGGAGGAGGGCTGGTGGCAGCCCTTCCAAGAGGTGGAAACTTGAGGAAACAATGCTCTGCACTGTACAGTTCATTGCCAGATATTTCCCAAATGAACTAATGAAGTTGCAATCTAAATAAAACTATACTCCTCATATCTCGTCTTTATTCCTGCATGGCTAGGACAAGGCAGTAATTCAATGTCCATGTTTATGGAATCCCTGGCCTCTGCTGAGTACTACATTTAGCACTAATGCAATTGTGGTTGGGGAATTGTATAGATAAGGGGATTGTTGATATGAGAATACGGAGCCTGCCTTTCACATAGAGGCTACAAATTCAAGTTCAGGTCAGTAATGCCCAAATGTTACAACCATTTGAAAGCCGTTCAGTGGTTGCTGCAAAAAGAGTTAATGGTCTCTGTGCTAATGCATAACCATCTATATGATAAAAAAAGATGGTTAGAAACCAGACAACCTGGTGAAGCCAGAAAGAAAAATACAAAACAAAACCCAGCCAGGTGAGAAACTAAGCTGAATACAGAAGATGTTTCACTTACCTTGACTTAGGCAAAGAACTGTGTAACACTGGACAGCTTGAATCTGAATCTTTTCTGTGGTGACACGCATTTGTCAGCGATACTAAAGAGGAATACTCTACCAACTGAAAGAATCATCTGTCTGAAATCCATTCTAGTCATTGCACAGAGATATTAAGAATAGTTTCCCTATCTTTTCCTTGTTGCATTTTTTTAGCTGCATGTTTTTCTTTTAACAGCCAGCATATTTACTTCCCTCCAGAATATTGCTGTATGAAAAAGTATTTATAACAGCCCAAACCAAACACAATGCACATTGTGGTACGAAGGTTAAAGAATAAACAACTCTTTATTAACCAAAGAATTATATTTTTATACCTTTAGAAACAACTTTTCCTGCATTAACTTTTAGATTATTATTTAACATTACATCAAATTCAGCCATGTGTATTAGTCCTCCACTGCTTCTTTACAATCAAAGTATCTGCTTATTTAATAAAGAATGAAGTACTTTATGTATGTGTCTAATGTTTCTTCTTCAAGTACACACATAAAAGATGTAAAAAGAAAAGGTCAAGTATAGGGCTGTAACAGATGTAGAAATTTTTTTATGAAGTTACAGAATCTCCTAAACAGAAGATTTCCTTCTGATTTAATTTTAATATTACATTACAATTCTAATGTACAAGCATTCGGTTACATTGCTTGTTATTAGAGAATCTAGGTGACAAAACAAACATACATTAAGAGCCTAATCTTGCTCTAAATGAAATCAGTGGCAAGATCCCCATTACCTTCAATGAAAGCAGGATCAGGCCTCAAATTTGTACACTGGTTAGTAATAAGGACAGTACATTTTCAGATTAAGAACTATTATCTGTAAATAAGTCTGATCTGACTAAGATGTATGAACTACATATTGGTCTTAGTAACATTAAACCATAGACACTGGATTTTACTATAATACTTGAAGAAAACTTATTGCATTAAGCAAGCAGAGAGAAGAAAACGGAGTCTTCCATTCCAAAAATACAATTAAACAGGGCATGTTATGTGTAAGAATAATAATATTAAATAATTTAGGGATCTGCAGGGGAAAAAAATCAATATGGTTTAAGAGTAAACATATTTTAAAGACACCTCGGAGGTTGATATGATTAAAAAAGTGTACATCTTGGCCATGAGAAGTCAAACGCTGTAACTTAAAAATACTAATAGATTCATTGTTCAGGCTTATATTTATATATCATCTACAATTCCTTCCAAGTAACAAAATGGTGCATGAACTTTGACACAGATAATATACATTAAGATGTTTACTTTTCCCAATAAATCATTCAGTCTGTTTTTGCCTAATAATTTTAAGCCAAGGAAACTTTTAAAAAAGAAAACAAAACGTACAAACAAGAGAAGAACTTTGAAATAGTAAAATTTTCAAGGGAGCTCAACAATTTTTACCTTTACCAGATCCTGGATTCCTTTAAATTAAAAATCAGGACACAAAATGATACAACACAGCCACAAACTTAGCTGATAGAAGAATAAGAATGACTACAAGTAGCATTTCCTGCACATATGTTTTTAAAACTATCATTTACGGAGGGAATGGTGTAATTATTCAGCATTTAGTTCATATACTTTTACAGTCTGTTGAACCAAATTTGATTCCCAAACCAATCTGGTTAAGAATGCCAACAGTCATATCTATTGTCCATACAAGGGAACTGCAGTATATTGCCACAGAAAATAGAAAACCCATCATGCTACTTAACTCTAGCCCTAGTATGGAGAATCTGCAATGGTGAGAAATAATGGTTCACACCTTCAGTGGAAACACACAAAGGATGTAGAACCACTTAGGAGATACAATATAAAGCCATTGAAATTAATGAACTATGTACAGAAAATCAACTATCCAAAAGTGATAAATAAGAATGTCGATAAACTTAAATTTTACTTAAAAACAAGTTACTTGACTACTTATTTTTAGACTCCGTTAACATTCTGAAATCAGGGCAATCACCATGAATCTGGCAATTATACAATAGCATGTAAATTACATGCTATTTAATAATTTTAAAGTGTAATTTTAAATCTAATTTCACCAAAACCACACCGGTATTGCTTCAGCCACAAAAAATAATTTTACAAAAAGTGAATTGAGTTTCTGTGTAAGCTGTATTGCATGGGTAATAGATGTAGTTTCACCACCAAGCCTGCTGAAAAGTTTGAGAGATTAGCATAATTGTAGGAAAAAAGCCTTGGAAGGCAAAATATTGTAGTTTACAGTATACAGGAAAGTGATAACCCAATAAAGTGCTTTTCAGTGGTAAATATTTTCTTTTACTGCTCAGACCCAGATAGAGTAGCCAAAGAGATGGTGTCTTCAAGAACAATCAGCGGTCAAATGACTAGACGAGCAAGGCCCACTAATACTTAAAAACCAGGGATTGGTCTTATACATAACGATCCAGCACCATTATCTTCTCTGAAAAAAAAACAACCACCAAAACAAAAAACCCATCCAAATCATTATACAAGCCATTTATCTTTTGCTGGTTTTGATTGGGACGTGCGATCCTTTCACATTGAGGTTCTCCACAGAAACTTCGGGTTTTCTGGATCCTGCAATCAGTGGTTTTGGGTGGGGTTTCTCCCTGAAACAAAAAAACAAAACACAATCAAAACCATTGTATGATACTTGGAAAAAAAACCTGGCTAATGCATCATATTGTTCACCATTTACAAAACACATAATGGATTATCTAGTTATTTTTAGGTAAGCCTTTATTATATGTATTTTAGCTATTTTACAACTTAGAAACATCCTCTGCTGGTAAAACTACTAACATGTTTCAGTGAATGAGAAACTTTAGCAGCCTCGGCTTTTTGTTGAGTTTATTGTGTACCTATGTATTTGATAAGAGACAGCTGCAAAATGGCATGTAGGCAGAACTCACTGAAGTGAATGGGAGCTGTGCCTGATTAAAAACTGAGCAGTAATCAAGGGCTGGATTTGTCTCAGTTTACATAAGCACAACTTGCCCATGGAATACTGCAGGAGGGGCAAATGCAGCCTCTGCAGTTTGGCAGTGTTTCCCTTCTAGGACTATGCAGAAGTGACACATGGAAAGCACTCTGCACGGTTTGGGAAAAGGTGTAGCTAGGACTAGTGCTTCTTACCACAGTATTCCCTACTCACTCCAGAAATTAGTTTGAGCCAACATTAACTCTTGCTGCATAACCTCCATGGTCCATACCAAGCAGCTGACAAAGGCAGCATACCTCCTACTAGAGCTATGCTGATAAGAAAAGACCAAAAGAGCAGCATTGGGAAAACAATCTATGCAGGACAGACACCTGCATCCATAGATATGGGGCATGCTCCTCCCAACAGATTCCCTGGTCTCTGGGGTTGGATTGCCTTGTCTCCTCCTGAACCTGTGCATCTCACCACAGGAGATACTGCCAGGAGAGGAATACAGCAATTTTCTTCCTTCTCCTGCTCTTTTCCTCAGGGGGATGGACCAATCCACCTCTGAGTAAAGAGTTAAGGATTCAACCTTAATGCAGTGAACCCAATTTGCATGTGATCAGTTCTCTCTCTCTCATTGTTTGAGATAAAAACATACTTATCTAAAAAAATAAAATTGTAAAATTTACAAGTCGAAATATAACCAAATAGGTTAAATAGTCAAAACTTCTGAAAGCCACACCTAGTATTTCCTCAAATTTTACTCTGAATTACACTTAATACTACTCTGAATTACACTTCAGCTACATAATCTCTGAAGCAGAGAGTAAGTATATTATTTCTTCTCAAGGTTCCTAACAGGAAGTTCTTATTAATGAAATAGGGCATAGTCTTTCCTTTTTCTTAGAAGAAAATGAGCGTATCAGCACAATTAGAGCCATTACAGAAATCATTTCTACCTCCTTGATGCATCTTCCCTGCTTATATGACGGTTACTTCTGTGTTTTGGAGCTTCTAAATTGCATCTAGCTCCAGATGTTCCAAACTTCATAATCTCCTTCTGCCATTCCTCATCAAATATGTGGGCCTCAGCTGCAAACAGTTACAAACATTTTTGTTTAAACTCGATGAAAACATAGGAGAGAGTATTTAGCTACAATTGCTACATCCCTAACCAAAGCAATTGCATTAAAACACAAAGTTTTGTAACTGGAATTTTTATATAATTTAATATATTAATGTCCATTCAAAACCATAAAACATTACCACTCAGATTACCCTCAAGTATGACCAAACACCACTGCCGTCACCCCGCCCCCCACCCCCGAATAGTATTTTCAAAAGTGACTGATGATTTTGGGATCCTCACGTTTTAGATGTCCAACTTGACACCCACTGAAGGGGCCAGATCAACAAATCAGCACTTCCTAAAAAATCAGGTGTGTGCTGCAAGACTTACATTCATCCAAGTTGATAAATTCTTGATTCAGTTCTCGATCACCAGTTTTGTTGTTCTTTGATTTTTTAATTACATGGGCACGATCATGAATGTGATGACCAACAGCCATTTTTTCCAGCCCACTTTCAGAATCTTTAAGTGCTTTTCTAGTCTCTCTGATCTGCTCAAAGAAGGGAAATTATATTGTAATTGCTACTTCAATTGAAAAAGCAGATTATCCAAATTAGTTTTCAGAGTTTTATTTTAAACTCAAAACAAATTTGCTTTAAAATGAAGTTTATGAAAAAAACAGATGCTTCCTACTGAATCTATTTTTGTTGCACTGGCTGAAAGACTGATAGCTCACACAAAGTATCGAGCAAACAATACTCATCCCACTATTAGCAGACAGGAAAGATAATATTACCACCCAATGTTTTTTAAGAAGAGAATATGCATGCAGGTTATTATTAATTGTTTCAAAATCTGTCAGAGCCCAGCCTAAATATAACCCCTGCAGAGAGTCTTAAACATTCTCCTTGACAACAGAACAGATAAGTATGTGTTGGTATTCTCTACATGAAAGGGCAACTAATTACGAGGCTGTCACGTTGACTGGTCTGAAACCTCTTGTCCACTGCTTATCACTGTGTTCATAGGTATATTATTAGAGCCTTTCTGATAACTAAGTGCTGGCTTGAGCTCTGACATGATTGGCTGTGGGATATTTTCAACAGACTCATACTGCTTGCATATAATCTTTCATGAACATTGCTCGAGGGTTCAAATTTAAATTTGAATTTCTTAGCAGAATTAGATGCACAACAGCTGCAACGAAGGTAATGAGAGGGCATCTTCATCTGAAGCATTATGTAAGCATTTAAAAGTCAAGTACTTAGGCTCAACAGATAATTCGAAGTAGCTATTTTGCACTATTATGGGTACATAAAGTGATTTGAGGTAAAATTGTGTATAAATGCAGACTTTTTTAGTATCTTACGATTGCAAATATTTAGGTGTAAATATATCCCAATAGGCAAAAGGAATATAACATTATACACTGGCTCAAAAAGCAGCAAATGCAGAACTGGTAGCTGTATCACTCACCTATTCAGCTTTTGAGAAAATGGGTATAAAAGTAGCTTTAGTAGGGGGGATAGCACAGGATATAATGCCTTAAAGAGTATTTTCAAACAGTATCTACTCTAAGATATAGCAATGGTGTAATAGAGTGTATATCTTTCTAAATTATGGAAACGATTTACCCCAGTAAGCATTTTAAAGGAGACTGAACTTGAGTCTGCATTAATATACAGTCTGACAATTTAACAACACTCTTCAGCCATGTCTCAAGAATACTTACACCTCCTGGAGCTGTGCGAGTCTGAGCTGAAGCTTGGAAAACCTTTGGTGGTTCATCACCTATCTTGGAATAGGTCATCACAGAAGAAGAACTGAATGAGTGTGCATCTGGATTGAGTGAGAGATGATCCTGAAATTGATATACTTCAAATTAATAAAAATATTAAAACTGACAGATAACTTAAGAAGAAAGAACAGTATCCCACATTAGACACCTTCTCCATCTCAATATTACTTTTGAGGAATTATATCAGGAAAAAATAGGGGGAAAAGAGCCTGAGTTTGCAATATCCTCTGTATTTGCCAGTGAATCTTGCTTTAAGCCCTGAGCATGCAGACTATCCACACAAAGGGACCCCTCTGCCCACATATAGCCCTACTGACTTCAATGGGATGTGCTTTTGTAGAGTTTATTGCAGGACTGGTACTTCAGAAGGGAAGGAACTGACTTTGTGTGCGTGTCATATACAGAACAAAGCACGCAGTCTGCACTTAAATAATAAAAAGGTCATGTAATGTATTTGGGAGGATAAAGGTATCAAAATGTTTGTGTGTTCTATTGTCTTCAGTACTGATAATGCCAAAACTGTTTTACCAGAGCACTTTAATAAATTAAACACATTTGACCACATTCTACTCCAGTACATAGACATAACTGGAGTACAACTGATAGTACAAAGAATTAAAACAAATACTTTCTGGGCAAAAAAAAACAAACAAAAAAACCCCCACATTTTCTCTCTGCACTCCATAGGGAATCATAATATGGCTTTTTATAGGACTTCCTGAATAACTGTTTTAAACACTATTATTCTGTTTGTGACGGGTTGGATCATAGGAAACCCCTTGGGACTGCCAGCTGATGTGCTGAGACTAGCCCTGAGCCTGTTTCCCCGGTCAGCTTGGGACTTCAGTGCCCTACCTGGTTTGAGCCAGACATGCTAGCCTGCTGCAAACCCAGACCCAGGTCTGAACCACGTTCCCTAAAAGCTGTGGGCTTAACTGAAAACAGCTTAAGAAGTGTTCCTGTCTCTAGCACTCAGATGCCCAGCTCCCAGTGGGGTCCAAACCCCAAATAAACCATTTTACCCTGTATAAAGCTTATACAGGATAAATTCATAAATTGTTCACCCTCTATAACACTGATAGAGAGAGATGCACAGCTGTTTGCCGCCTCCCCGGGATTAATGCATACTCTGGGTTAATTAATAAGTAAAAAGTGATTTTATTAAATACAAAGAGTAGGGTTTAAGTGGTTCCAAGTAATGACAGAACAAAGTAAATTACCAAACAAAACAAAAACAAAACACACAAGGCTATGTCTAATACAGTAAGAAAACTGGATACAGATTAAATCTCACTCTCAGAGATGTTTCAATAAGTTTCTTTCACAGAATGGACGCCTTCCTAGTCTGGGCACAATCCTTTCCCCGGTACAGCCCTTGTTTCAGCTCAGATGGTAGCTAGGGGACTTCTCATGATTGCACCCCCTTTGTTCTGTTCCTCCCCCTTATATGTGTTTTGCATAAGGCGGGAATCCTTTGTCCCTCACCGGGTTCCCACCCACCCTTCTAAACGGAAGGGCACCAGGTTAAAGATGGATTCCAGTTCAGGTGACATGATCATATGTCACTGTAAGACTCCAAGCCCTCATTCCTCCCAGCCTGACTCACAGGAAGGCCTGCAAGCAAACAGAGCCATCCATAGTCAATAGTCCTGGTTGATGGGAGCCATCAAGATTCCAAACCACCATTAATGGCCCACACTTTGCATAATTACAATAGCACCTCAGGGTTATATTTCATCTTTCTAGTTTCAGATACAAGAGTGATACATTTATACAAATAGGATGAACACACTCAGTAGATTATAAGCTTTGTAATGATACCTTATAAGAGGCCTTTTGCATGAAGCATATTCCAGTTACAGTATATTCACACTCATTAGCATATTTTCATAAAATCATATAGAGTGCAACGTCACATTGTTCAATATAAATAATACTTTTAAGACTGAATTTTCGAAATGTACTTACAAAATTTCTTTGCAGTTCTAACATACTGTTTCTCATGTTTGATATAGTTCTGTCCATTGCAAAGAAAGGATCCTTGAAATCTGAATTCTGTTGGAGGAGAGAAATTATTAGCTACAGGGGAAAACTATTGTTTGGGGCCTCTGTACCTTTAAACCTCTCTTTGGTGACCGACTGTCAATTCTGGTGAATCAATCCAGAGAATCAAACAAACTAGAAATGCAATATGCCTCTCCATCCCTTAGAACCCCAAGGTAGACAGAGCATCTCTAATCTGCAAATCTCACTGGTTGCATTCATGAACATAAAGCAGTCAGCCAGGAAAGGACATGAATGAGGATTTAGAGTGGACTCCAAATGTAATCAGTGAAATTCTTCAGACATTGTAAGCAGTTGTTCAGCAAATGTCTCATTAGGTAGCGCTATGAACTCCATAGAGCAGGTGTGGGAAAACTACGGCCCGTGGGCCAGACCCGTTGGGGAGTGGGGTCTGGGGCTTTCCCTGCTTCGGTGCGCTAGCCAGGGTGCAAGGTTGGGGGCCACATCATGCGGCTCCCAGAAGCTGCAGCATGGCCCCGCTCTGGCACTCCAGCAGCGGAGCAGGGTAGGGGGCTGCTCCATGTGACTCCCAGAAGCTGCGTCATGGCTCCCTCTAGCTCCTATGTCCTCCAATGGCTCCCTCTGGTGCTCCAATAGGAGCAGCAGAAGCGGTGCCTGCAGATGGGGCAGTGTGCAGAACCCCTGACCGTGCCTTCGCATGGGAGGTGGAGAAGGGACATGCCACTACTTCTGGGAGCCGCTTGAGGTAAGCGCCTCTCTGAGCCTGCATCCCTGAGCCAGTCCCCATGCCCCAACCCTGATCCCCCTCCTGCCCTCCAAACCCCTTGATCCCATCCTGGAGCATCCTCCTGCACCCCAAACCTCTCATCTCCACCCCCACCCAGAGCCCACACCCCCAGCTGGAGCTTGCACCCCTTCCTGCACCCCTGCCCCCTCCCGCACCCTGAACTCCTCATTTCCAGCTGCACCCCAGAGCCCACATGCCCAACCAGAGCCCTCGTCCCTCCCGGACCACAACCCCAATTTTGTGAACACTCATGGCCCGCCATACAATTTCTATTCCCAGATGTAGCCCTCATGCCAAAAAGTTTGCCCACCCCTGCCATAGAAGGAGTGAAAGGCAGAATGAGATACTCTAGAGGCATTTTCAATAAAACAAAACAAACAGTATATATTTAATACTATCATAGCTCTTTAATATAGGAAAATCTGAAATCCACAATAGGATAATTTACTAAATGTAATAGCTTTAGACATCCACAAAATTTTTTTGAGCCAAGACATTTCCTTCACTACAAACTAAGGCAACCAAGTTTGAAAACGAGACTCTATATACCTAATTCAAGAACAATTCTAGTGGAAAAAAAAAGTTATTTTGTTTTATATCTAGCAGTACATGAAATCAATCCTTGAATAGACCTGTTTACTTACCAAGATCCATAACCAAAACAAGCTGTAGTGGACTGTCATCTCATCTATGTGTATTATGAAACATTGAGTTATTTTTCAAAAGGAAAACAGAGGGCAATGAGAAAACAAAGAGATGGGGGAGGAGGAGGTTTCAAAACCAGATCAATTTTCAAACTGAAATTTACAATAAATTCATAATCTCATTTAAAATATGCAGGAAATATATTTAATTCCTTATAGAATCATAGAAATATAAGACTAGAAGGAACCTCAAGAAGCCACCAAGTTCAGCCCCCTGTGCTGGAGCTGGACCATATAAACCTAGACCATCCCTGGCAGGTGTTTGTCCAACCTGCTTTTAAAAATTTCCAGCAATTATGCGGATTTTCAGAGGAGGTTGTGGAGACTGTTCCAAAGCTTAACTACACTTATAGTTATGAAAACTTTTCTAATCTCTCACCTAAATCTCCGTTCCTGCAGATTAAACCCATTATTTCTAACAGTAGACAAGGAGAAAAACTGACCACCGTCCTCTTTATAACAGCCTTTAATATATCTGAAGACTTATCAGATCCCCCTTCAGTCCTCTCTTAAAGACTAAACATGCCCAGTATTTTATCCTCTCTCCATCGGTCAAGTTTTCTAAACCTTTTTATCATTTTTGTCACTCTCCTCCAGACTCAGTTTGTCCATATCTTTCTGAGGGGGTGGTGCCCAGAACTTCAACTAGGCCTCACCAGTGCTCAGTAGAGAAGGACAATTATTTCCGATGTCTTACATATGTCACTCCTGTTAGTACACCCCAGAGTGATATTAGCCTTTTTCACAGCTGTGTCACTTTGTTAACTCGCATTCAATTTATGATCCACTTCGATCCTTTTCAACTGCCACCTAGTCAGTTATTTCCCATTTGGTTGTTGTGCATTTGATTTTTCCCTTTCCAAAATGTAATACTTTGAACTTGTCGTTTTTAAATTTCATCTTGTTTTCAGACCAATTCATGAATTTGTCAATGTCATTTTGAATTCTAATCCTGTCCTCCAAAGTGCTTGCAATCCCTTCCATCTTGGTGTCATCTGCAAATTTTATAACCATTCTCTTCATAATCCAAGTAATTAATGAAAGCATTAAACAGTAGTGGATCAGGAAAGACCCCTACAGGGTTCCACTAGATACTTTCTCCCAGTATGACAGCTAACCATTGATAATTCTTTGGATATGGTCTTTCAACCAGTTGTGTTTCCACTCTATAGTAATTTCATCTAGATCACATTTCTTTAATGACATACCAATATTTGTTACCCGTGGCTAAACTTCATTAGGCAGAAAGAGGCGTGGAATGGTGTTCTGATCAGAAACAGACATATCAAGAAACATTTGCTTGACAGACCTTTGAGTAGACTCCAATTTTTGTAATTCTCAGTCACAAGACCTATATTTACACATCAAATGCATTATATCTCCTTTGGATAAAGCAGACAGCGGACCTAAGAGAAGCAGGAGGTATATGAGTGACTCCTTTCTGACTAGCAGGCACCACATTGGGTTAACCTAATGAACTACTGGAGGCTTTAGTTGTTTCATACGTACTGCATAAGTAAGCATTTCTTCACAGTTTAAAAGTTAATTGCATAATTCACAACATATCGTTTCAGGAAAGCACTATGGAAAATGATTTTCATGGTCATCCTGGAGAAGGGATGGGAAGGAAATCTTTGCACATCACTGACAAATGACTCAGAATTAAAATGCAAAACTATAAAGTGAGCAGCTAATCCCAGTGCGGCACAAACTCTCCTTATGAGAAAACATGTCCATATCAAAAGGGACGGCCTGAAGGAGAAAAGTGAGCCTTTGCAAATGGTGTAATTATTGTCAAGGGTCTGAAGAAAATCCAGTGACATAGGCTTGTTCAGGTTAAGTTAAGTTTAGCATCTATCTCTGTCCTGACAGGGAAGAAATTACAGGTTGTTACTATACTGCTCCCTAAAATATACTTCAAAACATACAATTATGCTGGCTGAGTAAGTTTAATTTAAGGATGTCCATTCCCAAAGCCAATTTAAACACTTACACATATGGTAAATACATTGTCACCAAAATTCCATTTTTGAATTTGATTTGAAAATCATGACTGTTTCATTAAGAGTGCAACAGGCAGAACAGACTAGTGCACACTTTAGAGCGAGAGATAGATTTTCCTTGTCAAAGGAGATGTTATCAATGTTTTTGGGTCCCACAAGTTCTCTACTCTCTTCTTTCATCCAGAAAGTCTAATGGTGGCCATGACTTTCACATTCACTCACATATACAGGAGATATTATTGCTTAGAAGGTTCTTGACAGTGTTATTTTCTTTCACTATCAATGAAGAAGCTAATGACACTACATCTGTCTACTTTTGTTTTGGAGAACCAGTATCATTGATATCAGCAGGAACATGGTATAGCTATGGAAACATTTCCTTGTCAACTATTTAATTGCAGAGCAGCAAGGAGCTTGTGTATCATTTGAACGTCTTATATCAGAATGCTGACTTCCAACCACACCACAAGCTAGTGTGCATGTTCCTGTCAAAGCACTCAGTATTCCATTTTCTTCCGTACTGTACTCTCCACCCATCCTGCAATAATTGTGTCAGAGGCACAATCATTGTGGAAAACGTCTCCATTTGTTAGAGTTGTTCTATGTTGTTTCTGAGTTGGCTACCAAAACTGCCAAAGGGCATGAGGGAGCAGCTCACTGCCTGGAAGAAAAGTACCAGTTCCTTTTAGTTATTGTACCTGTTATGCATCATGCTTAAGAGAAATCCAGTGCACTTTCACATACAGCAACTGAAATAATAGGTTTTTGGTAAAAATTTAAAAAAAAATGTTATTTAAGTGGACCTCAGTGATTTATAATATGATAAAACAACATAACACGAAGCAGTTTTCTGTAGACACAGGAGTACAATTATTTCCAAATAAAAAAGATGACTGCAGCCATGCTGAATAAATCATATTTACACAAATATAATAGAAGAAACATCTGTGTATCATAGCAACCTTTATACCAAAGGTAATTAAAACATAAGGTGTACTTCAAATGTCCCTTGCTTCCCCACACACTCTTAATTCTGCTTATGTAGTAGAGGCAGTTACAGAGAGGTTAATTAAAACCAACAAGTCTGTGTCTGCTCGACATACAAATTTACATAACTAAATTACAAAAGGCTGGCATAAATTTTACGGCAGAAAAATTGAAGTAAGTGATGCATCTGATCTACTCATAAGCTCTCATTTTATGTAATGCAAGAGATTAATGTAGACTTAAAAATGAAATATATACATATTCTCTAAAATATTCATATCCCTCAGGATAAACCAAATATACTCTACCATGTCAGCAGTTTCAAAGGTCATTGCAAAGAAGTTCTAAGTATATCTATCGTCACATTCAGAACAGTCTGAAGACTAATAAATCCACAGTGCATAAATATATTCTTATACAGATGCATAAATAGATGCAGCTATGAACACCATCAGATACAGTTCCTGTAAAACTGACTAGTTGGTCTTGAATATCCCTGTCTGAGAGAACAGTTCAAATGCTGGAAAACAAATTTAAATTTCCAGGAAATAAGGATGAGATGTTAAATTTACACACACACACACACACACACACACACACACAGCGCCACCTAAATACATGTGCATAGCTCATAAGGGTATAACACTTTCTAACAATGCAAGTTCAAAATGGAATACAATATCTGATTGCAGAATATTATACACTGTATGGAGCCATATACATTGCAGCTAAGGCTGACGGCTAGTTTTGGGGAAAAATGCACAAGTAACTGTCACAACTTCCTTTCATATCGAAACAATAATTTAGTTTTTGATCATGGTCAATTATATATTAAATATCCTTAATTTTATAATAAAAACGTAAAACCATTTAATATTTGCCTAATAGTTTAAATCCATAAAAAAGCTCTTATTGCACTATGACTGGACATACAGAGAGCCAAATCTGAAGACAATTCATGAAGGTGGCTTGCTCAGTAGTAGAGCAGGTTGGAAAATGGAAAAAGAAATTCAGTACTTTGGAGTTTTTTCTATAGCAATTTTGAATTTTTTGGAACTTTTCTCAACCAGTTCTACTTAATAGCTATGGTAACCAAAATCCAACTGTTTATTAAAAGAAATTAAAAATTCATAAATATGAAAAGATACAGCTCGAATCAGACACACTGAAGACAACTTAAGAAATCAGAGTATTACTGCAGGTGTTAATGCACTGTATTCTTCCACCACCCTCACCCCCACCAAATAAAGTTAAACAAGCTTTGTGATCTGTTTAGAAAACAGTGTTCAAACAAACCTGGAAGAACAGTTAAAATCATAAAACAACAAACGCAATTGCTCCCAGATTGTTGCAACATACATTTTATTCCTTTTTAAAATGAAGCTTAGGCACTATAATTTACTTAAATACAGTAGGAATTATACTTTCATTAATGACTGGATAATTTACCAGCATGAAATCAGACAACAAAGTTTTGAAGCTTTTAAATAAATTAATTCTTCTCAAAGTGTGTAATTTAAATCTGTAATAAAGACACTGATATGTCTCTATACAACATCTAAGGAACCACCATCAGGTCACAGTATCCAGCTCTAAGTTTTCTGTGTAACTTGGCCACTGTTTTAGGGCAACCACAAGGATTTTTTTTTTTATTTTAAAAAGGATATTGGCGTGACTTTAGGCACCAAGACCAGGCAGATGCATTTTTCTTGGTGCTCTTTCAAACTACTTCAGTGTCCCCAAACACTAAGCTCCTCCCAACCACAACTCATGTTCCTCTGTGCCCCAGATTTGTTGAGATTAGACAGTGAGAAATCCCACTGTGTTTTTGTTTGTTGTTTTTTTAAAATAAGGTCAAGCCCATATTTAAGCATTTGCTGAACTGAAGCCCAAGAGCCTACTCCTCCCACGGACTTTAATGGAAGCAGAATCAGACCCCAAGTGGGTCCAACTCTATCTATAGTTTAAACTAACTTTCAGTTTATAAGCATAGGGGAAAGAATCTGGCAGTTACCCTTTTGACCTGCAGGTGACAGCTTGTGCTCCAGCTATGTTTATTAAGCTCCAAATATATAAGATTGAATTACAGTGACTGATTCTGGCAAAGTTCCACAACCCCCTGTAGTTGTGTTATCCTTGAACTAAATGCCAGTGGTTCATATCTAACTTAAAACAAAGTCCAAATGCTTTGAACATAAAATATATTTGTCATGTTATTTAAAAACATATATCCTTTCTAAACCAAGAAATCAGATTAGATTTAGAAACAGAAACATTGCCATAATTGTCACTGCACAACCCATCAGTTGAAAGTGTACTTTATATAAGACAGACTGTTGCCAATTTTCTTCTCTTTTGCAGAGAGCCTCAAGGATTATTAGATTTCATATCATTCACCTGATCCTCCTTAATTGTTACAGCCATATAACTGGAGGCAAGACATTTAAGAATCAGGCTGAATGTAGAATATGAAGCATCAATTCAAAGTAAAGAAATTGTATAAGGCTTAACACTATTTCAACAGTTTTAGATGTCTAGGTTTCAAGTGCGTTTTACACCCATGAAGGTGGAAATTCAAAGTTAATGACAAGCCATTACAATACTTAGGCTCAGACATAACTGAATTAATTATGGAGAAAGCAAGACCCACAACTATTCTGAGGCCAACATCATTTGATGTTGGTAAGTAAGTAAATTAAATGGAAAACCAAAAACTTAGGGCCCACAGCATTATAGGTCTTCTTCTACAGACTGCAGCCTCTCCACTTCAAAGAGCAGATAGCTTGTGGAGGCTTTGGAGGCCAGTAGCTTCAGACAGCTAAAGTACATTGATAGTGGCTAGCCATGAATCATCCAACTTTGCTGATTTAATCTGCCATACACATTTAGGGGCAGATTTTCAACTGGAACAACATTTATGCACCCTCATACTGATCATAGTAATTAAATGCATAAATTCTTGACTACATTTGTGTGTATAATTACGTAGGCCCAAGAGATGAGTTTATAAATTAAAGGCATAACTTAGATACCCACTTTAAAAAAATCTTTCCTTTAACATTATGAAATAAAGGAAATTCATATGTAAAAATAAAGAGAAGTTTAGGGAAAACTCTTCCATTGGAAAATTTTATTTCCTGCTATTTAAATATTAGCCACGCACAAGTGTTTACTTCATGACTAGTTCTAACATAAAAAATCACTTGTAGCTGTTAAGTAAAACTCTTCTATAGTGCTTTTCATTCAGAGATCATAAAGCATTTTACTACAGGAAGGCAAGTATCATTATCCCCATTTTAGGGATAGGGAAATGGAAGCTCAGAGAGATTAAGTAACTAGACCAACATCACATAGGCTAACCGTAAGGCCAGGAATTTAACTTTGATCTCCTATTTCCAGACTAGTGTCCCATCCATTAGACCAGGTTAGAGTCTAAAATCGAAGTGTTATGCCAGATACCTGAAATAATTAATTACTGGTAAAGGAAAAAATCCTGAGATTATGAAAGGACTTACTCTCTGATTTCCTCTCAAAGCAACCTGAGAATCACGGTGTCCTCTTTGATCTCGAGCTCTTTCGTCACCCTCCGTAATACTGAGAAATGGATCTCGTCCAAAAGGATCAGAAAAGCTTCTCAGCATTTGACGCATGTATTGATGCTGCGCAGCAAAAGGCTCCCTGGGGAGGAGGAGAAAGAAACAAAGAAAACTCATGAATATTCTTTTAGAAAGTTAACATGTCCAATTCCAAACTATGTAAAATTATTATGAAATAGGCCAGGCCTGACTAGCAATAGCCAGAACTCCACTTAAAGCCACGACACACATTGGTCTCCAGACACCTCATCACCTTGATAGCAAAAACTGTTTTCAATGGACAGCTCCATTGTAATAAACCTTAGGGAGACAGAGATTTCCACTTATTCCCTCCACCCTGCTGTTCATTTCCCATGTATTTCTGTCTTCTATTCCCCATAGCTCTTTTGCCTCATCCTCCCCATCATCAGCCCCTCTGGCTCTCAACTCTCCATATTTCATTTTCTTCCTCATCACCTTTACTTATGTCTCACATGCTTCAAATCCATCTTCTCTTCAACCCAACCTCATAACTTTTCTGCCTGCCAGGCTTTAATACTATTAACTTTATATATGTTGCCTCACTTCCCCTTCCTTTCACCTGCTACATCTGGAATTCCCTCTCAGTATTAAGAGCATCACCCCAATTCACTTTTGTCTCCCAGTTGCTCCATATGTTAACCAAAAGCCTGATTTCTAAAACTTGAATACTCCTATCTTCGTATTAGGCTTAGTTCTTTGCCTCTCCTTTGGTTGATTCCATCCCTCCTACATTTGTTTTTTCCCCCACCTCCTTTGAGGCCCATACCATTCACTAAATCCATTCCTGGCTCATCCTCCCTTATTGTAAGCTCTCTGCTCACCCCTACTTTTCTCTCTTTCCCTCCAAATATGCCCTTTTATCCCCCTCTCCATCTTGGAAAGAATTTTCTCTCCTCTCTCTTCCCACCACCCCTTACTTACCTCTCTAAATCTGATCTTGTTTTTCCCCATACGCTCCAAATCTATATCTCCACATTCCTTAAGAACAGTGAACTCTTCCTTTTAACCTCCTCCAGATCCCCTCCACTCCAGTTTCTAACTTCCTCTACTACACTGAGCAAGGTAGCTACACCTCTCCTTTTAGCTTAATTAAAGGGATACGTCTTAATCCTTCCCCTCATCCTTTTCATGTGTGTTCATTCGGCTTCTGTCTTCAGTCCCTCTTTTTGGCTCTAGGAAACCTTAACCCATCCCATGGTGTTAACTACCTCTATGTGAATTAGTCCCAAAACACCCTCCTAGCCGCATAGGCATGTCGTCTCCGACATCCAATCATCTCCTCATACTCACTGAAGGCTAATTTCTTTCCTTACCACTCTCCATTAAAAATTTTATTAAGATGATATTTAAAAAAAGTGAATGGTACAGAGTTGAAGCATATAAGTTACTTGTTATCAGGGAATAACGTACAGATTACCAAGGGGTGTGAAGTTTGGTTTAGGATTGGATGGCATAACGAATACATAATCTATAATATTCCTGTTTGGGGGTAAAAAGTTGACGGGTCAAAGTACAGACATTGAGATATGAGGGTATGTTGTTCCTACATCCCAAGCTTATAGCCATGTTGCCACCCTTGACTTTTCTCCTTCCCCCATAGCTATATATCTCACTAGGCCCCATAGTGCATGGGAGTTTTTTATTTGTTCATTTTTAAAACTGACTACGTAAGATTTATATTAAAATCTAGAGTTACATTTGTAATATTGGGTGAAGACATTTGTTTATTAAAAACATGATTTTTAACCAAACAGTGTCTCTTTAAGCTATGCATATACTTTACATCCATGTCCGTGTAGACAAGCAATTCCATGTCTAGAAGTAGTTTTTCCACTGTCAAAAGCAGTCCCTACCCTACCCACATGATTCCTAGTTTTAGCTTCAGTCCAAACATGGTAAGCAACTATAAGGCAGTAAGTGTCTTGGCAGTTATTCACAGGATAAATGCCTTACTCACAGTGTGAGAAATATAAGCACAAGCAAGTTATCACCTGTACAACCCTGTTCTCAAAACCATAAAGCATAGGAGTGCCACCACAATTTATAATTGCATACATACACTTCCATAAAGCCTCCTCCTACTCCACAGACTTTAAATACATTTAGATACCAAAATACAAAATGCATACACCATTTCTTAAATAATTTAACACATAGCAAAACTATCTGAAGGCTTTATCCATCCTCTCCTTCCCACACAAAGGACAGGTCTCATTCCCTATTAAGCACCAAATGAAATATGCTCAATATGCCAAGCCCAAGAACATACAGGACTTATATTAGTTTTACTTTAATTAAAAGTACAGTTTGTCTAGCAAGTTGCATTCCATTCCATTCCATCCCGTGTGGGTATAACTTTCAGGAGAAAACATGTTATGAAAAATGCAGTAGTTACATGTGGTACAACAAAAGGCTTGTTTTAAAAACCAAAACTACTAGTATTTGGCAATTGATAAAGGTTTTACCTCTGTACTTAAAACGAAGCAAGTCAAAGAAACATGAAAAAACCTGAGGTCCTTACCTTGTGGGAATTGTTGAACATTTTTACTCTAAACATCATTCCTCCAATATTTCTGCAAGAGCATGTGCATATAACAGCAATGCATTCTAAGAAACTTTGAAATATTTCATACATAGCACTTAAAGCACTTTTCATTTAAGGATCTCAAAGTGCTTTACAAAGGTGAGATAGTACCTATGCCCACATTTTACAGTCTAGGAAGCAGACACAGAGAGGTTAAGTGTTTTGTCAAAGGCCACACAATGAGTCAGTGGCAGACCCACAAATAAAACAGAGATCTCCCAACTCCCAGTCCAGTAACTTATGCACAGGATCTTGTTTTGGGATGTGGCTAAACAGGAATTACTGGTACAATCTTACAAAACTTCCAGGTTTGCTAATAACCAACAAGACAGAAATGGAAAGCTAACAACTCTTTGTTTTGGGGGACACAACATGTTCAGTTGACTACTGTTACATCTCTGAAGATCACAACTCAAAGCATAATTACAGGGATAAAGAGTTAGCTTTGGGTTTTGTTTTTTAAATTTGACTCCAGCCCATTGTTGGTCCTAGCAGAGATTTGCAGTGGTACAGTCTGGTCAGTGGCAAGATTTGCATACAAGATTTGCAGTGGTACAGTCTGGTCAGTGGCATTATCAGACAGTAAGAGATGGAGAAGCCCATTTAAGTTTAACAACCCATCATGGAAAGAAGATGCTGATTCTTTAATATTTATAACTCATTTGTTGCTCAAGTCTGAGTGTGGGTATTTGGGGGGTGGGAGGGGAGAAAGAAGATGAAGTGATGGCAAGGAGAGTTGACACCCATTAAGCGCATGAGGTTCCTGCATGTTTTGTACCCCTGTACTACAAAACTGACTGACTTTCTCAAGAAAAAAAAATTCTTTTTCAAGCATCTTGCACACCAAGCTTCTGTCATTCACATGTTAAAAAAAGTTATAAGCCTCTATAACTAAATTTATAATGGAAGCACTGACAACTCTGATAGCAAGGCAAATTTGTTCCACTATTGTGCAGTAATTACATTATGATCTAATCGGTAGATAAATTCTCAGTAAAGGTCAAATTAAGACTTTGAGAGGATCAGTAATGGGATATAGAACCTTTCTCATCTGAGGCACCAGTTCATACTCCACCCATATCAATAGTAACCAAAAGTTTCTTCAATCTGATGGCTAAGGGGATAACGTGAAGTGATTTTGTATTGGTGTCAGTTCACCTCTCAGACAAATGTTCATATCACAAAATCCTTGTGACAGTTGCAGTAGAGAAGCTAAAGATTCGGTGGGTCTGAGAACCGAACTGTTGTCTCACTTCTACAGGCAGGCCCTCCAATTCAGGAACTGGTGTAGTTGATAGGAAAGATAGCCCTTGTTACTGCCTGAACTGTGTATGTTCTGTGAACGGAAGAGGCTCCAGTCGTCTGAACTATTAATCAGGTATAATTCATAATCACTACAGCAAGACAAAATATAAATCATTTTAAAAATGAAAAGGCAGATACTGCAAACACTTATGCAAGCAAGTAACTTTACTCTTGTGAGTAACTTCACTGAGATGCTTACACATGCAGGCAACGTATTTGCAGGACAAAGGCTGAAGTTCCTAAATTCAAGTGCTCCTCGTTCCCAGTTGAAAATAACAATGTTCTCAGAAAATGGTAACAAAAATATTATTGCTACTCTTTATTTCTCACACATTTTTATTCTGAGATGTGTATTCAACCGAATAACCATATTTTTATTACTTTAGAAGATCACAGGGTAGATAAAAATAAATGATTTCTTTTTTAAATTAAAAAAAAAATCGGATTTTTTTATTTAAATCAGATTTTTTTGATAAAATGCTTTTTGAGGGAAAAAACCTGTCTAAAGATAGTTTTAATTAAGATCCATGACGAGAGATCATGTGATAGATTATAATTTCTAATTCTGTAGTATGAGATAATATATTCATGTAATGTTTAAGAAAAATTTTGTAAATGAGTTCCAATAGTTCATGGATTAGGGACCCAATTTTTTGGGGTTCCAGGGACTTCAGTATAGATTACTTAAATTAATCTTTCTATCTACCCAATGGGACTCAGCATCAGAGATGCTTAGCTTTGCAGTTCTCAAACTGTGGATTTGTGTCTCCAGAGATAACATTCTTGTTAACAGCAAAAATGTTTTAAAATAAATATATATAACAACATATAGATAGATGTGAGAAATAACAGACCTCAACCCTATTGTCCCTCTGCAAATTTGTGTACACAGAGTCAATCCCTTACTTCTCTCTAAAAGTGCAAAATTTCAGAAAGTTCAATGAATAGTAGATTGTTGGGGTTGAATAGATCCGGACAAGGAGAAGAAGTCTGGAGACAAATGTGAGACGGGAGGGACGGGCAGCAGAAACAAAAGTGAAACTGTTTGACCAGCATATTCTAGAAGTCTTGAGGTCTTTCTGCAGGGGCAGGATTTTAGAATTGCACTATAAGAATTGATGTATAATTTGATTTCATCCTGCTAGCCACCCCATTTGAATAGCAGAAAGGAA